GTTGCCGGGTGCCGGGAGGCAGCTGGGAGCTGACGGAGCTCTGGAACGACATCCAGTACCAGCTGGCCATGAGGAGGCTGGGCGCAGCCACGCTCACCCCCGTGCAGAAGTTTCGATGCAGGAAGAGGTACGCTTGTTCTTGCGGGCCCAGGGAGCGCGCCAGGGGTCACGGTGGGGCCACGGTGGAGGGGAGCAAGCGCTCCAGGTGCGGCTGGGAGCTGTCCGGCTGACCTGAGGGTGGCAGGCTGTGCTGGCCCTGGCGGGGCATCACCCCTGCGTGCAGGGTAGGAGGGAGCAGCGTGCAGGGCTACGTGGAGGCTGGTCACGGGGGGGCCGGGGCCGAGCCCCTGACCTCACCCTCCTCCTTGGACCATTGCCCAGGCCTCCCTGGACGAGGGTGGACTGGGGTGCCCCGGAGGGCTGCTCGGTGGTGGGGGGTCAGTGCCGGCCACGGGGGCCCTGGAGGGAGGCCCCAGCTGCGGTGGGCAGGAGCCAGCCAGGCAGAGGGAAGGTGATGCGTAGCGTCCATCCGCCAGTGGGGGTGCTGCGGTGCGGGGTGCGTGGGCCGTGCGGAGAGACCAGAGCTGGTCCTGCAAGCCGCCCAGCACGGAGCTGGGACACAACACCCGCAGCCCCCTGCGTCAGCAGGAGGGTGGGGACAGGCCGTGCAGTCCGGGCAGGACCAGGGGCCTGCGCAGACAGGGTCACACACACAGCAGGAGCGTGGGTGCTGCCCAGGGGGCCATGGAGTGGGTGAGAGGGGTGGGCAGAGAGCCCCAGGCAGGAGGCCGGGGACATCCCACCAGCCTGGGGACACACAGCGCCTGGCTCTTGTCCTGTGTCTGCAGTGGGGTTGGGGACACACCTGAGTGTTGTCCAGGGGGGTTGTGAGTGAGGGGTGGTCAGAGAGGGCCACGAGGCCGGAGCACGGGGACACACCCCCAGCCTGGGGACACACCTTGGGTAAGGGGTGGTCAGATAGCCCCAGGCTTGTCCTGAGTTTGCAGTGGGGCTGGGGAATGCCAAGCCCCCTGCAGTTTTTGAGCTCTTAGCGGGAGTTCTAGTGGCGCAGTGCCTAAGGCACTTGACTGCTAACCAGAAGGCTGGCGGTTCAAACCCACCAGCCACTCCTCGGAAGGAAGGTTGGACAATCTACTTCCACAGTGATACTGCCTCGGAAACCCAAGGAGGGGTCGCTATGAGTCAGGTCCAACTCGACGGCACATAACAACAACAATAACGTGACTTCATCTCTGGGGAGAGAGCTAGTCTTCCTCAAACTGAGGACACAGAGACTGCACCCGGAAGAGGCCTGGGGGTCACCTCCTCGGAGCGCAGGGCCCTAGTAGGGGATGAACTGGGGGTCTCGTTCTGACGTCTCCCACTCCCGCCCTCATCCAGGAACCCGCCGCCGCCCTCGCTCTGTCCTGAGGGCCTCAAAAGCAGGAACTTCCCCAAGGACGTTCGCCAGAAGCTGCACGACTTCGCCTCCAGCGTGGGCACATACCCCAGCAAGGCCCAGCGGGTAAGGGGGAGCCCCTGCGGCCCCCAGCAGCCCTGAGGGCCCCCACTCGCCTCGGGCTCGCCTGGGAGGGAGTTCTCGTGGGCTCCCTGGGCACGGCCCCCCACCGTGGAGCTGGCCTCTCATGCAGGGCCCCCCGTCACCCATCACGTGGGCTTGGCAGGAGGACAAAGCTTGGTCTCCATCAGGGGCTGTGTCCCCCGGCCACTGTCCAGAGCAAAAACTCGGCGGATTCGCCTGTAGCCAGACCCCACGCCCAGGCAGGCCCTGGGGAGACAGGCGGGCACTGGGGTGAGGACGGTGGGGGCCGCCTCTGTGCCTCGCGTGGGCAAGCTGGCGTGGGGCCCTGCTGTCCCCTTCAGGACACCTTGTCGTCGGAGACAAGCCTGTCAGCCGAGCAGGTGTACAACTGGTTTGCCAACTACCGTCGGAAGCGAAGAGCGCGTCTCCGGGGTGCCGGGCCTGCCCCAGCGACCACCAGCACCCAGGGGGAGGGTCCGGAGCCCCCTCGTCCCTCCGTGGACCCCTGTGCTGACCCTCAGCGTGTGGACAGGCCTCGGGGGCCAGGTGAGTGACCGCCTTGGGGCGGAATGCATGTGCCCCAGTCCCCACCGTGGTCAGGAGGGGCCGGCCCCTCGGCAGGGTTGGGGTCCACCCAGCGGGGAGAGCGGCCCATCAGGCCGTAGCTGGTGGCTTCTCATCAGGGAGTGTGGTGGCCAAGGCTAGGGTTGGGTTCAGGGCTGTCTGTGCAGGTCACAGATGGCGGGGTTAGCCACCGGTGGGCACTGAGAGCGTGCCGTATGGCCCGGGAGGAACCACTGTGGACGGCATCTTGTGGCTGCAGGGAAGGGGTTGGCGGGTAAATCTGGGGGCCTGCGAAGCACTGGGGTTGGGGTCGTCCTGCCTTCTGTGGACTGTTGGGACAAGGAGCGAAGGCTGCTGGGGTTCACTCTTACTTGCTGGGAAGGCCAGCCAGAGCTGAGGGAAGGACACCGTGGAGTCGGGGGGCTGCGGAGCCTCCCCCGTCTGACTGTGCTTTGCCGGCAGGAGGCCGCAAGGAAGGGGAGCCTGCGTGGGCCCCAGAAGCCTCCCGGGGCCCGTGGGCACCGCTGGCCCCTTGCCCAGACCTTCACAGAGATGAGATGCGCTCAGAGCCAGCCGCTCCGAGGTACAGTGTCCTCACAGGTCGGTGACCAGCTCACCTGTCTAGCTCCCTCCTCTTAGAGCAGCGTCGCCAATGCTGCCGACAGCAGAGACGGCATGGTCCCGGGGGCTGAGGGGAAGGAAGTACCAGCCAGGGGTCACGTCAGGGACAGTTGCGGCCGCGTCCCCCGACCCCGTGTGGGATCCCTGGAGCCTGGTCTGTAGCACTGAGAGTGGAGGACGCAGAAGGGAAGCCTGGGCGGCCGGCTCCCGAAGCGCACCCCACAGTCCCTGTGCGCGGTTCCAGGGCTTGTCCTTGAGCAAAACGTCACCGAGCCCTGCCGATGCCTGGTGGGTCCCTGCTCTGTGCCGGCGCTGTTCTGGGCGGTGGGCCCTCTGCCTGGACGAGGATGGCGCTTTGCCCTCAGGGCCGGTGTAACCGTGAGGCCGCACGGACCTCTGCTCCTCCCTCCTGGGTAACGTGCTGACGCCTGCTGCCTGGTTCGTGCCCAGAACGAGCGCCCCGCAGGGTGTAACCTCCAGCGCTCAGCTTCCTCACCTGTGAAGTGGGCATAGTGACCGGCCCTGCGTGTGGAGTTGCTTCAGGGGGTGCCTGGACTCACCCAAGGCTGGGCTCGGTCTGGGACAGCACGCACTTTCAGGCCACGACATTACTGAGTGTCCCCAAGGCCCGGCATGTGCAAACCCAGCCCAGCCTCTGGCCCTCGCAGCCAGCGTGTACCTCGGGGAGGTTAGGGGCACGAAGTGTGGCTGGTGATGTGCTGGGGCCCCACAGCCATCTGTGGCTAGGTTCCCATGGGACCGGATTCCCAAACTGGCCGTATGTCTCCCCAGTTTCTGGCCGAGGGAGCCTCTGTCCACTGAGTGAGTGTTTGCTGTGCCCACAGGTGCCTGCAGGGTGGCGAGATGTCCCGGGAGGTGCCTGACCGTGACTCTGCCCACTTCGTTCCTGTCTGCCCTGGCCCTGGCCTCTGCCCTCTGGCTGCCAGTGGCAATGTGGTGGATCCGTCCCCGGCCGCCCCAGGGTCGTGGCTGATGTCACTCGCACTGGCGTCCTCCAGAGAAACCTATTTCCAGACTGGGCATCCCGCCCACAGCCAGGAGCTGCAGTTCACGGCGCGGGGCCCAGACGCTGCCATGGCAGGTGGGTCTGCTCGGGGCAGAGCGTTGGTCCCCGCACCCGAGCCTGGCCCGGACCTCATCTTGTTTGGGGGGCTGCAGAGCCTCCGTCTGTCTGCCCAGGTCTGGTCAAACCCGTGGAAGCTGGTGTTTACGAGTGAGAGATGCTCTGAGAGAACCCTCGCAGCATTTTAAGTAGAGAAAGAGAGGGGCCAGGAAGGGTGGTGGCACCTCACAGCTCGGTGACATCTGAGTGAGACTCAGGGTGAAAGGTCAGTGAGAAGGGCAGAGGGCTGGGCACCCAGCCACGTGATCCACCAACCCGGAAACAAAGCAGTGAGTACGTGGATGGCACGTGCCTCACAGATGAGCAGATGCAGGGGCCCACCTGTGGTTATGGAGGCCACACTCCAGAGGAGGTCACGGCTGTAACGGAGCAGGCTTTGAACTCCATAAACTTCAGCCTTGCGTTGGTGTCTGGCGGGAGAGAATGACAGTTGGGGGAGGTTGCTGAGTTCACTGGTTGTGGCCACTTCTTTCTCACAGAGGGACATGAGGCCCCAGTAGACCGAGAGCCTGGCCCACACAGCTCGTGACCGGCCTCCTGTCCAACACGGGCCCTGCTCCTTCGTCCTGGGACTGAGTGGTGGAATTTCTGTCCCACAGGCTTCACTCACCCGCCCAGGGGGCCGCTTCTGGAGGAAGGCCCTCGCACCAGTGATGGGCACGTGAAGCTACAGGCAGGGAGCTTCCTGGTGACACAGACGCCACTGCCGCTTCAGGAATTCATCGTCCCCCAGAGGTAGTCTCTGCCGAGCCCCGAGGTTTGGGTGACGTTTTCCATGGGCTAGTGCCTCTCTGACAGGAAACATACCACAAATGGGACGACCTTAATGAACAGGAGTTTATTCTCTCCATATTTGGAGATTTTAAGTCCAAGTTCAAAGTGCCAGGCTCTAGGACCCACTAAAGCTAGAGGCGTTTCTTCACTCAGACAGCTGTTAGCTGCCGAGTCTGCCAAGCCCAGGGTTGACAAGTCAAAAGGCACAGTCCCGATGTTACCAAACCACACAGCAGGCCAATAACTTAGATCCATTGTAAGTCCCAAGGTCGGCAGAGCATGGCAGGCTGCTGAGCAACGGCTACATGCAGGGTCCAAGCGTGCCATAGGCTAGAGACCATTCCGAAGGCTTCTCCTTAAATACAGGAAGCCGACCCCATCCCAAAGGCAGCTACTCAGCTGCTTGTGGTAGATCCCACCATGGAGTTGATTGCCAGTCTCATCATGGGGAGTAACTACCACCAGCTGCCCA